AGAAGGGAAAGAGAATTATAAAGCAATTGACTATAAATAACCCACCGCAGGAAAGATAAGTTGTTGGAACTCTTATTAATTGGAGTTAGATGTCTCATTAGTTGACAAGAAAGGAAATAGATTTTTGGATCTCTTGATAAACAAAATGTTTAATGAGTGTTAAAAGTTACAAAATGATTCAGGTGAACAGGAGAGCTGTGACAATTCTCAGATGATAACAGCAATTACAGGTAAGATAAGGCAGAAGGGAGACTTAAAAGGGACTGTACCTTATGCTATATTTTTAATCGTTTTAAATTTTTGTCGTGTTTAAAAAAATAAAATATCTACAACAAACCTTACTAACTCTCCTGTCCATGTTTTATCTTCTTTTCTACATCCTAATTTGTTTCTGACAAGCTCCCACTTGCCTCTCCTTGGGATCACTTCATCTCCCACTTAAAAAAAAAAAAAATCACTCCCTGCAGAGTCTTCCCTATCCCAATCCTTTCCCTGACTTTTGTACCCTCAGCATTCTTTGGTTTGTTTGTTTGTTTGTTTGTTTGTTTGTTTGAGACAGGGTCTCCCTGTAGTCTCAGTTGGCCTAGAACTCGCTATGTAAACCAGGCTAGCTTCGATCTCACAAAGATTCACCTGCCTCTACCTCCAGTGCTGGGATTAGAGGCCTGTGCCGTCACAACTGGCTCCCTCAGTATTCTTACCAGACTCTTAGTGAAAGCGCAAGTGACCTGTTTTGCCCAGATTGAGAATTCTAGGAAGGCAGAATCCTCTGCCCCCCCCAGCCCCCCCCCAAAGACTCTTTAGCTCACAGTACAGTATATGGGGTGGAGGAGGTGTTTTGGAAAATATTTGACTTTATGGATGAAATCCCAGAGTCAGCTAGCATCTGCGAGTTATGAATGTTGAACCGAGGATCCTCATATTGCCACGAAATAGCAGTCATTTTCCAGGATCATTTTCCAGTTATCCAGGAAAAGTCAATCCTCTGATATTTCCAAGGTGAGATTAATGTCTGCATACCATACCTAAAAATTAAAAAACAAGACTCTGTGATTTAGTATTTTTGGCTTAGTGTGTGCTGTAATTGAAGAGTGGCCTAGTTACCCCAGGCCTTTACTTATTAGTTTTTCATAGCCAAAGACCTGATCTTAAAATGCTAGTGCTTTTTTAAAAAAATGAAATTATATATTTTTATTTGTATGAGTGTTTTGCCTGCATGTATATAAGTGCAACCATGTCGTACAATGCTCATAGAAGTCAGAGGAGGGTGTCAGTGTCCCTGGAACTGCGGTTACTGACAGTTCTTAGCTGCCATGTCGGTCCTCTGCGAGAGCAGCCAGTGCTCTTAACCTCTCCAGCCTCTATTTTTGGTCTTTTGGGGGCAGGGTCTCCTGTAGCTCCAGCTGGCCTGGAACTCACTTTGTAGACCAGGTTGGCCTTAAACTCACAAAGATCTGCCTGCCTCTGCCTCTCAAGTGCTGGGATTAAAGGCATGCACCACCACACCCAGCTCCAGACTCCTTTTTTTAACTTAATTTTTTAAAATTATTTTTATTTTCTATGTATGAGTGGTATGCCTGCATATAAGTAAGTACACCCGTGTTGTGCAATGCCCATGGAGGACAGAAGAGGCTGTTGGATCCCCTGGAACTGGAGTTACAGACAGTTGTTAGCTGCCATGTGGGTGCTGGGATTTGTACCTGGGTCTTCTCTGGGTCTTCTGCAAGAACAGTCAGTGTTCTTAACCTTTGAGCCATCTCTCCAGCCCCTAGCCTCCTTTTTTTTTTTTTTTTTTTTTTTCTTTTTGAGACAAGGTCTCCCTGTAGCCCTAGCGGTCCTGGAACTCACTATGTAGACCAGGCTGGCCTTGAACGCTCAGAGATCCGCCTGCATCTGCCTCCCGAGTGCTGGGATTAAAGGTATGCATAACCACGTCGGGCCAGCCTCCTTTTTAAAAAAATTTATTTATTTATTTAATTTTTTGAGACAGGGTCTCCCTGTAGCCCCAGCTGCCCTGGAACTCACTATGTAGACCAGGCTGGCCTTGAACTCACAAAGATCCACCTGCCTCTGCCTCCCAAGTGCTGGGATTAAAGGCGTGCACCACCACGCCTGGTTAAAAAGATGTATTTATTTTTAAGTGTATGAGTGTTTTGCCTGCACATGTGTACCAGTGCATACAATGCCCTCAGATGCTAGAAGAGAGCATCATATCTCCTAGAACTGGAGTTACAGATGATAACTGCCATGTGGGTGCTGGGAACTAAACCCCAGTGACCTGTGCAAAAGCAGCCAGTGCTTTTAACCACTGAGCCATCTCCACCCTTTAAATGGTAGTGCTTTAGATAGCATTCTTTTTGAACTATGTTAATAGTGAGTTATTTCTGCTTCCTGTGCCAGGAACACCTGGCTGTTTATGGTCCTTATGGTACAATAACTGTGTAATGATTACCCACTTTATGTTTAGCACTTATTGCTTTAATTATTAAGCAAAATGAGGCTGTTGAAATTATATAAGAAATTTAGGTTCAATTTTATGACCTGTTCATGGTCCTACATTTGAAGATTTGTTTTATTTTTAAGTCATTATAAATCTGTGGGTATGTGTGTTCATTTTTCATTTTAAGAATCTGTAAGTAACTGTAATTAATGCACACTACATACAAGATAGAAGATAAACAACGTTAGATACAGAAAGCTATAGGAAGACCTGGAAGCATGACTGCTAGCCGGTGATGAGTCATGAGACCTTATGTATATAGAGTGTTCGCATGTCTGTATGTGCAACACATCCACACCTGTTACCTGTGGAGGCCAGAAGAGAGGATTGGATTCCCTGGAAGTAGAGCTACAGATGGATGTGAGCCACCACGGGGTGGGAACTGATCCTGGGTCTTTTGCAAGAGCAGCAAGTGCCATCTTCTTAGTGAGGTTTTTGTTTGTTTGTTTGTTTGTTAAAAACAAAAAAAGCAAAAAAAAAAACCAAAAAACTCATGTGTGGTACTGTAAACATAACCAATACACATGGCTGGAGAGGTCATAGATCTTAGAGAAAACCCCAGGACCGTCACATCTGTAGACTGTCACATCCATAGACTGATGTAATTTCTTACTATGTGCAAAATATCCTTATATTTACAGAAAAGTATTCTAATCACCACTCATCAAAGAATCTTCTTTTGTACCAGACAGAGACTATTACAGAGTACCACAACTGGTCACACACAGACATTGACTATGAATTACCCAAGCCTAAGTGGCACATCTACAATGCAACCTCTACACCTAAGGCTCATGGAACATAGAACAAGGGGTAAAGAGGACACTAATAAATATCTCAGTTTTCATCAATGAAGCTCCCTTATGCAACAGCGGGCCAGGAACACAAAAAATTACAAATGACCAAAGTATAGAGATTGAGTCTGCAGAATGCTGGGTTTTGGACAGTACTCCTATATTAAACTTCACTCACCCAGGGCTCAGAGACCATTGCAGAAGAGAGGGCAGAAAGATTGTAAGAGCCAGGGAGGACGTGCATGTCCATATGGAAAGAGAGTCCTACAAGCTCCTGGGACCCTGCTCATTTGAACCTACAGTAATGGTGTCAGCATGCACAAGACTCATGCAAACTCAAGCAGACAAAAACTCGGCATAGAACTGGGGAAATGGACAGCAGACCCCAATCTTCCTAAAGTGAGGAGCTCTAGATAGGCTGACTAGACCTCAGTAGATAAACTTGTACTGAGGGACATCTAGGGGCACTAACTTAACACAATAGGCCTTAACACAAATGATAGAATGTATGAATTCCAGTGGGGGGGCTATGGGAGGGTGCCAGTGGGGAAAGGGATATATAGATGATTAAGATTGATTGAGATGTTCTATATGAAATACACAAAAATTCAATTAAAAAAATTAAAGCTGGGGCTGGTGAGATGGCTCAGCAGGTAAAGACACTTGCTGCTAAGCCTGATGACCTGAATTGATCTTGGGATCCAAATGGTGGCAGGAGAAAACCAACGTAGGGAAGTTGGCCTCTGACCTCTACATGTGCACTGCAGTACACACAAATGTGATAAAATATTTTTTAATTAAAACTTTAATTTTGTGAAACTGAATAAGTAATATAACTGTCCTATTTGAGAGGGTAGATATATCTAATTTTTTTAAACCAATCTCAATGACCATAGGGACCACTGTCCCCTAAAAGTCCATTGTCATTTCAAAGATTGCAATCTGGATAGTAGTCAAAGATGCTTCATCATTTCAGAATCTTCTGGAGAGTAAGATTAAAAACAGTGACAGCAATCACAGTTTGCCCTTTTTCAGCTCTTTTAGGGGCAAACATTGAAATGTTAGCTGATCTGGTAACTGGGCTTCTCCTTTGAGACTGTCATATTTTGAGCCCAGTCATCTTAACTGTATTCACACATAGGTGTAATTTTGTAGCCTGAATGTTTTTCTATATGTATGCAGTGCTTTCCCTGCATTGTGGTAAAAGTCAATAATTGAATCTATGAGTCTAGTGGAGTGACTTGTTACAGTGTGTACAGTTTCCCATAAGTGTGGTAGAAACATACAGGTGGAATTGATGCTTACAATTATTATATATAAAAACATCCTTTAAAGGGTCCATTAACCAGCCCCACTTGCTTTCAATGGGGGTATTGATTTGGGGTAACATACCATAATGGTCCAGAAATTGATACTGATATATTAGTTGAATAAGCTGAGGATGATGGAAAATTGTGTTATTGAGGCAAAAACAGTATAACAAGTGGCTTAAAATGGAGAAAACACAGCCCTGTCAGAACTACCCAGCTGCGAAAACCCAGATGCGGGAAGCAAGCAAGTGACTGAAGCATGGGTTTTGTAAGCATCCAGGTAGAATTTAAAAGATTCCAAAGTAGAGGTTTAATATGTAGGAATTGTATAGTCAGCCTATCAGTAAGCCTTCCCACCTTTTCATTGAGTTATATAGGCCTTCCATTTAAAACAGAGATAAAGGACTTAGCATTCAACGGTGCTGAAGCAATGGAGGAAGGTATTAGAAATGGGCCAGAGATGAAGAGTTGACAAAATTAGCCCATTTTGCATGAAATAGAGGGCCACAATGTGTTTGATTGTGGTTTGGAGTGTATGAAGAGTTTTAATAGAGAGGAAGTGTGACCAGCAGTTATCTACATCCACTGAAGGGAGACCTGGGGGAACAAAGGCATTTTACATTCATTATTTAAAAGAATGTATAGTTTGGGATTTCCAAAGAAACTGTGGTCCTTTTGCATTAGACATCATAGATTAATTTTAAAATTTATTATTTATTTTTTAAAAAAATATTATTTTTATTTTACGTGTATGAGTGTATTGCCTGCATGTAAGTACACCCATGTGCAATGCCCGTGGAGGTCAAAAGAAGGCATCAGATCCCCTGGAACTAGAGTTACAGATGGTTGTTAGCCGTCATGTGGGTACTGGGCATTGAACTCTGGTCCTCTGCAGTAGCAGTCAGTGCTCTTAACTGCTGAGCCATCTATCCAGCCCCTTAAAATTTATTTTAAAATAAATTGAAGCTTACCAAAAAAGTTGAGGAACAAAGTCCTCCGATATTTCCCTCGCCCAGATCCCTTAAGTCCTGACACTAAGAAAGTGTTCCCACTTACCTATCTAAAAATCAGTACTCTATCTAACCATTTGAAACTGTAAGTATGATGGCCCATCACTACTGAAATCTTGTTTGTTTCTAAAACAAAAATGCTCTTGTAGACAACCACTTTATGACCCTCTCAATCAGCTTTGCTGGACCCATCCACAGACTTACATCAGATACCAGTTGTCCCAACAATGTCCCTTTTTTTTTTGTGGTCTAGGGTTTCATCTGGAAATACGGTTTATATTTGATTGGCCCTGGATGATTTCACAGTCTGTCCCTGTCTTTCATATTCCTGACATTTTTTTTTTTTTTGGTCTTTTGAGACAGGGTCTCCCTGTAGGCCCAGTAGTGTGGAATTTGCTATGTAGACCTAGCTAACCTCAATCTCACAGAAATTTGCCTGCCTCTGCCTCCCAAGTGTTGGAATTAAAGGTGTGTTCCACCATACCTGACTCCCTGACAATTTTTTAAAAAATATTTTATTATTTTTATTTTGTGTGCGTGGGTGTCTTGCCTGCATGTGTGCAAGTGCACCCGTGTCATGCAATGCCCACAGAGATCAGAAGAGGGCCTTGGATTCCTCTGGAACTGTAGTTAAGGGCGTTAGCTGCCCTGCGGGTGCTGGTAATTGAACCCTGGTCCTCTGTACCAGCAGCCAGTGCTCTTATACTGAGCTATCTCTCCAGCCCTGGCAATTCTTAAGTACAACATTTATTCTAGAAAGTGACCTTCTAGCTGGTGCTTTTGAATGATTCTTCATGATCAGACTCCATTCATTCAGTCTTGGCAGTAATACCACAGGGACACAGGGTCCCAGATATACTTAAAAATCTTTCTGTCTTTGTAATTTAAGGACAAATTCCCCACACTGCCTCATCAATCATTACTAAAGTACCCAATTAATTATGAAACTTTTGAAGAAGTAATAATCAAGATTTCAATATAAATTTCTAATGTGGAAGTAATTATACTGTTTTATCTTCACTTTTATTATGAGTTCAGTCTTTTTTGTTTGCTTTTTAAAATTTTTTATTTTATTTTTATTTTATGTGTATGAGTGTTTTGCCTGCATGTATATAAGTGTTCCTGTGCACGCAGTGCCCACAGAGGTCAGAAGAGGCATCAGATCCCCTGGAACTAGAGTTAAGGATGGTTGTTAAATGTCATGTAGGTGCTGGGAACTGACCCAGTTCTTCTGCAAGAGTAGCTGGTGCTCTTAAGCACTGAGCAATCTTTCCATCCTCATTTGTTTGTTTTTGAGACAGAGTCTCATGTAGCTCAGGCTGGCATTTCCTCAAACATTTCCTCTTTGTTGAGTCCTTGTTTCTGAGACAGGTCTTCAGTATGTAGCCTGGACTGGGCCTAAAAGTCTTTTTTTTAAAAAAAGAATTTTTTATTTTTATGTGTATGAGTGTATTGCCTGCATATGTGCAAGTACACACATGTCATGCAGTGACCGAGGAAGTTAGAAGAGGGTGTTGGATTCCCCTGGAACTGGAGTTACAATCAGTTGTTAGCTGCCATATGGATGCTGGGAATTGAACCCAGGTACTCTGCTAGAGCAGCCAGTGCTTTTAACTGCTGAGCCATCTCTCCAGCTCCTGCCCCTAAAGTCTTAATCCTCTTGTCCTAGCCTCTGGTGGGCTTGGTTTGCAGGCGTGTTTGCTTCAGATTGGTGGTCCTTTTGGTTTTTTCCCTGCTTCCTTGGCAATCTATCTTTTTATATCTTCGTTTCAATCACACCTGGCATTTTCTGCTTTTTAAATAGATTGACAAGCATTCTCACAAAGGTGTAATGATTTCAAAGGGCATCATGTTCTAAATCCACGCTATTTTTTATTATAGTGAAAAGAAGAGATTGGACCTGGAAGACAAACTTTATGAATATAATAAGTCTGATAAGTGCAGGTAAGATATGACAGTGGTGATAATTTTCAAACTTGTTTATAGATATTTATCAAAATTTAATCCCCACTGTTATGTTATAAATTCTGTAGTTGGAATATTTTAACCATTCTTTTATTTCCAATGCATAATAATTTCAAATGCAAGCTGTAGTTTTATATAATCATTATTAATAAACATTTTCATATTTAGTTTTGTGTTATTTCAAGAATATGCTTTTACTTAAGTGTTTTAAAATAAGAAGTATAGTCAGATCCTTTTGCTTACAGTTTAAACAAATTTAGCTTCTGTAGTGACTAAAGCATGTAATTATTGTAGCTGATCTTTCAGCACACTGCTATTGGCAGGGTTACCTCTATTGCATTTGTTCATGGATATTTGAGAATGACTATTGAAGTTATTGTAAGTAGTGGAGACCCTTTTTTAGGTTTCTTACTATAATGTTAAAAGAGACTTTTAATATTTTAATTTCTATTTTATAAAAACCCGAATTTGATCCTTAAGCCAAATGTATGCATTACCTCCAGTATTATTCTTATGAAGAATTTCAGACTATAATAGCACTACATTTGTGATTTATCAGTGTCATATTAACAGTGAGAAATGAAAAGATCTCATCTAGACTAGAGAAAAGCCAAGGAAACCTTCAAACTACCCATTATGTCCATTTACTTCTTCACTTTCAAAACTCTTCTTCAGTTTTAAATTCTAGTGCACTCTCAAAGTTTCCAGTCAAGGTAGACAGCCATATGCATCAAGCACCTCTAAAGAGATAAGAAAGAGCTTGTCTTGTCTCTGGAAGAAATAGCAGTACTGAGAAACCCAGGCCTCAAGAGTGGCTCAAGTCTGCAGAGATTGTGGCAGCTGCCAGGTTTTTTTTTGCCAGTGGCTACAGGGACAGAGGACAGGGTTTAGACTTTCCATGCAGCCTTTTGGGCAGCTTCCTGGCATACTGGGCAAGAGAAGTGAGTGTGAGAGAATGGGAGCCTTCACTAAGCTCCCAGTTGGCTATCTTCCTCTCTCTTATATCCAGGAACACAGAGGATATGATTTGTCCAAAATGGGCTTTCTTAGACTGCCTGTAGGTAAAATCCATACTAATGTGGTTCCCATCAACCATGTGGTTCCTCCAGAAAGCAGAATCTGGCAGGACGGTTTGTGTGTTTGTGGTGGCTTATCTGAGGAAGTTGTCTGGTGAAACTAGAGAGTGGGACTATGAAGAAGAACATAGGAGCTGCCTGGAGTTCCTGCCAGAGCCTCAGAGGAGCAAAGTAGATGCTTCCCTCAAAATAGAGTGTCCAAGCAAAGGAAGAGATGCTGTATTCTCTCTAGGTGGGCCCTGATGGAGTTAACACCTCAGATCCACGCTTTTCATGCTGCAGACCCAGAAAAGCACCCAGGGAAAGAAGATGCTGTGATGCTGTCAGGTTGTTCTGGCTAGAGAAAAGGTGCATCAAGAAAAATGTAAAGAGGGCCTGGAGGGTTCTACTCAGCAGCAGGCTTTCAGAGTCTTTCTTATCGCTGTTTTAAATGCAGCATCGCCCTTATTCTCCTTCTTCCTTTTAAAATTCTACACTGACTGTAACTGTAATTTCTTTCTTTCTTTTTTTTTTTTTTTGAGACAGGGTCTCACTATGTCACCCTGGCTAGCCTGGAATTTGCTCTATAGACCAGGTCAGCCTCGAACACACAGAGAAAGATCTACTGCCTCTGCCTCCTGAGTGCTGGTATTAAAGGCATGCACCACCACACATGGCTGTTTTGATTTTTGCTTTTGTTTTTGTTTTTTTTCCTTCAGTTTTTTAAATTGGGTTTGATCTCGTGTAGAATAGTGTAGCTGTGTTGGTATTATGACCCCTTTGGTTTGGTCTAAGACTGACCACCTCTAGGCCAAATCACTGTAGGGTAGTTACGATAACATTCTGTGCTTCCATTTGCTAAATGGGAATGACAGTTAAGTACCCGATAAGCTACTAATATATATCAAGCCTTCCATCAGTATCTGGACTAGCGTAAGAGTCAATAATTTATTAGTATTTTTTCAATACCTTTGTTATTATTGCCTTTTGAGTTTTCTAACATGCTGATTCCCCTGTCACGAAGATCTTTCCTTCATTTCTTCATCTTACTTTCCCCAGTTTTCATTACCTTTTATCCATCTTTCAAACCTTACCTGGAAAAATTAGTGTCCCTGAGAGGGCCTCCCTGCTGTGTTCAGCTAGGTCAGCTTGCTTGTCTGAGAAGTTCCTTTTGGTTTCCCTCATAGTATTCATCACACTGTAATTTGTTTGTTTTTTCTTGTTGACCGTAGCTAATGGCTTTCATATTTAGACTGCTGAGTATATGAATAATTGCATGGATGGATGTGCGACATATGATAAACTTTAAGAGGTAGAGGCAGTTGGATCTTCCTCTGAGTTCAAGGCCAGCCTGGTCTATATAAAAAAAACGACAACAAAAAAGGCTAAGGTTAATAGCAAGAAAGGAGACTAGAATTGGATGGATGGAGAAGTCATGGTTACTAAGCAGCTTTACTAAGTATCTGAATAAGAAGGTATGTTGGGGGCTGGAGAGATGGCTTAGCAGTTAAGAACACTGGTTGTTCTTGCAGAAAACCCGGGTTCAAATCCCAGCACCCACATGGCAGCTAACAACTGTCTGTAACTCCAGTTCTAGGGCACCCGACAGCCTCTTCTGTCCTCCATGGGCATTGCACAGACACGGATGCACTTACCTACACACAGGCAATACATGCATACACATAAAAAATAAAAATAATAAATTAAAAAAAATTGTTGGCCTAGAGTTAGAAGTTTAAAGTCTCTTGCTAATTAAATTTAAAATTTCCTACCATCTTTGAAAATCTCTGAAGGAAAAGTAAATATATTTGTGACTTATTAAACTTATTCTTTGCTTGATAAAAGAATATGGAAATCTTATTGAGCCAATAATATAAATGCTGCTTAGCAGGTACTCATTTGTGATTCAAATAGTTGTAAAGAAGAAAGAAAATTAGCAGTGTTGGTCTGTGAGAGAGAGAAGGTTGTAAACTTTGAGCTATCCAGGATACCTTTCCATATTGCACTTTGAATCAGTCTCTAAAGGTCTTCTCACATTTCATATGCCATTATAGAATACTTTAATAATGTGTTTAATGTCTAACAAATGCTTTTGTATTATTTAAATAATAGCCTTTTGTATTTCAGATTTTAAATTTTCTTAATTTTATGGTTTGCAGTTTATAGTTTGGTTCTATTTCTTTATGAACAAATAATTTTAAATTGCCTGTTATATAAAAACTGCTCACAGGCTGTGCTGGATAGCTTTAGTGTCAACTTGACACACCTGGGTTGAGGGAGCCTCAATTGGGGAATTGTCTCCATTGGACTGGCCTGTGGCCATGTCTGTGGGGCATTTTCTTGATTGTTGAGTGATGTGTGAGGGCCCAGCCCACTGTGGGTAGTGCCACCCCTGGGCAGGTGGGCCTGTGTTGGATAAGAGAGCAAGCTGAGCAGGGGCCAGGGAAGCAAGCCAGTAAGCAGTGTTCCTCCATGGCCTGTGCTCTAGTTCCTGTCTCCAGGTTCCTTTCCTCTCCAAGTTGGATGTGGTCAGAGTGTTTTGTCACAGCAATGAAGAACAAACTAGGACACAGGCTGTGCATCTGAATATGGCCACAGACACACCACTCTTGAAACCATATTTCAGTTTAAGAAATAAATCTGTGTAGCTGACCATGGTTCTACACCCCTATAATTTCAGCACTGGGGGTCTAAGGAAGAAGACCATAAGTTCCAGGCCATCCTAGGCTTCATAGTGAGACTCTATCTTCAACAGCAGCATTTAAGTCTTTACTGTGTGAAGGTTATCAAATGGTCCTATGTATATTGCTCCAGAGAGTTATGCCATTCTGTAGCCAGTACAAAATTAGTGAAACCACACTAATTTCCTTTCTTTAAAAATGTATATGCATTCTGTCCTTTGGGTTTCAGTGCTTTGAGTAAGATTTTTTATTTTTATTGTCTCATTAACAGTGTTGTTAAAGAAATTTATTCTTGGTGTGGCGTAGTGGTGCATGCCTTTAATCCCAGCACTGGGAGGCAGAGGCAGGTGGATCTCTGTAAGTTCAAGGCCAGCCTGGTCTACATAGTGAGTTCCAGGACACCTGGGGCTACAGGGAGATCCTATCTCAAAAAGACCAAAAAAAGAAAAAGAATTTATTCTTAAGTTTGTTAAAGCTGGATTCTATTATTATGATCTACTTTTTTTTATTTTTGTAGAGTCAAGCTGAAATGTGCAAAACTAAAGAAATACCTGAAGGAAATATGTGAATCTGAAAGGAGGGCTCATATTCGAAACCAAGGATATTTAAAGCAATTTGAGCTTGTTCAAACTCATGTTGAACACTTTGCCACAAATATAGAGAAACTTCAAAAACTGAAGGTAACATCTTGTTTTTTACTGTGTGTTTGAACATCTTTTCTAGATCAGTGACCATCACTAATGTTTTATTTTTGTGGATTACCCTGTGGCAAATTTTGATCAGAGGACTTGAAGTAATATTTTCTAATAGTCCTACTATAATTGTCAAATTAATTGAATATCTGCAGCACAATCAGCATCCCTAACCACTACCAACTCTACAGGTCTGACACAGGATTGTTTGTTGGTAGAATCATTGAATTTGAGCAGCATTAAGGTTTCCTCTAGAAATGGTTTCCCTTTTTAAATTGAGTCAATGTTTTTCTTTTCGGTCTGGACCCCTCTCTTCTGGTGAAGAGTCCACTGGGAATAGGGAGCATTGAGGGGTAGAAATGACCCCAGGAGTTCACCTTCATGCTCCTGGGCTCCTAGATACAGTGACTGCTGTTGGAGGCACTCTCATTCTGGTACCTTACTGCCTCCCAGTGTGTAGCCACGTGCTGCTCTACAACTTATGCCCAGGATGGAGGCCCAGGAGCTGGGCCTTCTTATGTTTGTACTGGCCAGGAGTTGTTACCCAGCTTAATCAACCTGAATACTGTTATAGGAGAAGTTGGCTTCAGTGTTTCTCCCTTTTTCCCCATTCCCTAAGCTAATTTTATTGCAAAAATTTCAAATATACAGAAAAAAAATTTAATTATAATAATGAGCACATATTCTATTACATGCAACAGTTATAAATATTTTGCTGGATTTGCTTTGTGTATGCATATTGGCTTTTCTTTCTGAGCTATTCAAAGTCTCCTGCTTACATCATGACACTTCTGTACCCTCGTGCATACGGGGCAGACTCTTAAATATTCATAGTCATATTATCATACCTAAAAAAATAAATAACAAATTCACAATATCATTTAATATTCAGGTCACATACAAATTTTCCCAGTTCCTCTAAAAAGTGTCTTCTATTTCTAGACCATGAACTCACAAGGGTTTACATATTATTTGGGCTTCATGCTACTGTTGTGCCTTTCAAAGTTTCTTAATCTAATTTCAAATGTTTCTATTTCTTTTTTTTATGACATTGACTATTTTGAAGAAGCCAGGCTAGTTGCTGGTTATTTGGAATTTGAGTTATGATTTCCTGGTCCAGAATTTCCCTGTTTCCTGTGAACAGGAAATGTGATTTAGACTAGCACTGCCTGGTAGAACTTTCTGTAGTGTGCTGAAAATGTTCTGTCTGTGCTAGTGCTGTCTGGTTCAGTATTGATGAGCCAACCACATGTGGTTATTGACCCCTGAAAATGTGGCTTGTGCTACGAGTGCTGCATGTTTAGTTAATTTTGCTTAATAGTTATAGGTAAGTTAATGCTTCATGAGGCATCCAATCAGGGAATTCCCTGATATTAAGTGATCCCACCTGAGATTGAGCTGATGTTGAGCTGTTGGTTAAGATGGTGATCTCTAGAGGTCTCTATTTTAAGGCAGCTCCTCTCCTTTTGTAAATTGATAAATAGTCTATGGAAAGATTTGGCATTACTAGAATATCACGTTCTTCACTATCCTTTTACCTCCTTACCTGGGGAGCTGTTGTTGAACCTTCCTGAATGAGTTATTGTAGTGGAGGTTGTTAAAGTAGCAATTTCAGTTGTATCTTCCATTAACTGACTTTCTTCTATGACAAAGAACAATTTCCTCCTTTTCCCCTTCTCTCTCTTTCTCTTTCTCATTAACACAATGAACTTCTGAATTTTTATTTAGTTAGTATATTATCAATTACAATACTTAGTTTTGTCCCTGTTGTTCCAAACTTAGCCAGTAAAGGTCTCTATGTTTTAGGGCACTGGGGATTGAAACTTGGACTTTGAACATACTAGGCACGTGTTCTACTACTGAGCTACACTACTAGCCATTGGAAGTATTTATATTAGCTCTTATTCCCTTTTCTGCATGACCCTGTCAGTTCTGAGCCTTTTTCTTTCCTTTGAGGCATAGATTATCTAGGTAAGCCATGTGTTTTCTCTGCCCCAGACAGTATTAGCCTTTCACCTGAGAAATTGTAGTGATTTTTTTTTTTTTTGGTCTTTTTGAGGCAGGGTCTCCCTGTAGCCCCAGCTGTCCTGGATTCAGCATGGAGACCAGGCTGGCCTCAAACTCACAGAGATCCACCTGCTTCTGCCTCCTGAGTGCTGGGTTTAAAGGTGTGCGCCACCACGCCCAGCCAAATTGATTTAAATCAGAAAGGGGGATTTGGAAACCCAGTTTGGGTGGTTAGTTGTGTTGAAGCAAACTTTTGTATTTTAGTATTCCAGTCAAATACTTAATGTTCAGAAGCAGTTGTCATTGTCCACATTATAAACCACCTCTCAGAGATCTCATATAGATAATCAAAGAGCTAGACTAAGAATGCACCTGTACCTTCCCAACAGAATAAAGAAAACAGAAAATTTCTTCTTCTTTTCATATTGTGGCCTTACCTGACTGTGGATTTCTTATTATCAAACATAGGAGGAAGGAATTGAAATCATCTTTTTTAAGTATTTTAGCACATTAGTTGTGTATAACAACTAATTGTTTCATACCTTATATAATGAGCTGGGAAAGAATATCAGTATACGGGACCATTTTAAAGAAAATAATAACAACCTATATAAGAATATGGAAAACTTTAAAACATGGTTCAAAATCACATAGATGATGTTGCTTTGAATTTGAGGTAAGGTATCCTTTTTTGAAATAATTCTGATGAAGTAAAAGAACAGACCTGTAGCTACAGTTGGAAGGACATGAGATCCATGCAGCATTGGGCTTCTGCAGTTACTCTGAGTCCAAAACTGAATGATTGCCATGTGCCCATGGAACTCTACAGTGATGTAAAAAAAAAACTCAGCTAGCAACAGACACCATTAATTTAGTGATAAGCAGAGGTTTGGAATAGGATGCTGACCTTTTGTGTCAGTGTCCAGTGTTTGCCTTAGGTATGACAGAACCACCTGATCCATCTTAATGCTTTCCCAGTGTGGTAGCAGATCTTTACCTCCTTTGTTGACCTTGGGTAAATTACTTAAAAGAAAGATGTTTACAGTGCATTGCCGACACCCCCAAATGCCATAATGTTTCTCCTCAAATAGAGAACAGTTTGTGTACAAATTTCAAACTGGTGGAATTCTAGAAAGTAGAACAAGTTGAAGCAATTTGGAAGAGGTGGGATTTTTTCCCAAATTATGGTAAGTCCATTTCTCTTCTGTAGAGATGGGTGATCCCACCTTATTATATATGTAATGCTAAAATCTTTTTAAATGGGTAAAAGCTGAAAAGGAGTTAACTAATTTTGAATCAGTTTATTTTTTATGGTGGCTCTGGAGCAGTGTGGGTTGAAAACTGATGGGCAAAGGTGCAGGTAGTAGATTTTAACCATGTACTCCTGTAGGCAGGACAGCCTCCACAGGTTTTGAGGAGGCCTAGACACAGATAGCCAGATATTAGAACTTAAAAGCACCCAGAAAAGCTCCCAGGGACTTGTGTAGAGTATTACTAACATCTCCACAGCCTTCCGCACTGCAGTAGTACCAGTCATGGGATCAGCATGTCAGAGTATTTGGGGAGGATCCTCACCAGGGTGAGAGTCATCTGATTATGTCTCAGGACATAGTCCAGGTGCTAGTCTCTACCTGCCTACCACCCTAGCCTCAGCTTACACAGCCCATGCTGCACATACATATTTCTCCTCCCCTCCCTCTATTAGCTTTCTCCCTCCCTTTCCATCTCTCACCCTCTCTATTCCTGTCTATACTATCATCAGCCCCCATCTTTTTCTCCCCCAGATCCTCTCTACCTCTTCTATCCCTGTATCATCCCACTGTTCCTCTACATCTTAATTTCCCCCACATGTGCACTCTTTCTCACACACACACACAAACTCACACATACCTACAGTGCTTTAAATCTGCCAAACAATTTGCATTTCCTTGACTGCTCCACATTATCTCACACCTCCTTCAACTAGAAGGCCTTTTAACTCCCTGGTCTGCCTTAGGTCCGTGTCATAATTACTTCATACTTCCTCATGATATTCTAATTGCTTAGATATCTATTTCTTTCAGCTTCACTGTGAGCTCTTTGTCTTAGTATTTCAGTGTTCTAAGTGTCTAACCTAGAATATGGTTCACAGTAAGCAAGGAGACTTCCCACTTTACTGAAAGTTAATTCTGCCATATTTTGGACTGTTTCTCTTATTGACCATGACTACCTATGTGAGAACTAGGTAGTGTTGATTATATACCGTATATACCTTCCCAGGAAGCATTTGTGTTAAATAGCAAAGGCATTCTAAAGATACAATGCCATTATTTGAAGATGTGATTCCCTTGCAAAATTGTCACTAGGTTATGTGTGCTGGAGGGGGATAAAATTTAAGAAGACAAAATCTTTTTCATTCTCATTCAGGTTCAGATACTGGGCAAGGCATGACCTTAAGACTCCTAAAAGGCAAAATCTATAGCAAATCTCATTTTTTTAATCAATCAATATTTTTCCTGTTGATATGTGTATTAGTTGAATAAATAAATCTCCATATCTTTTGGTGAGAGTCTGCCATCTAGGAGGAAGCACATATATTGGGAAAAAATGGGGGAAGAGAAAACAAAAGACTGTGTAGTCTTATGTCATACTCAAGAGAGAGTCAGACTGAACAATTTAATACTCACTGCACCCATTTCTTCAACTATAACATATGCAGGAAGGAACAGCTGATCTTAAGTATCTAGTTAACTGTCCCCCTAGCCTGTAACAGAACTAGCTGTGCAATTCTAGAAACCAGGAGAAAAAGAGAGTCAGAGTGGAGAATGGTAGTGGTGGCATTGTCTGTCAAATAGTAGTGTGAGGAAGGGAAACTGAAGGAGTGAAAATGAGAACACAGGAAGAAGTGTAAAGGAAAATGAGGTGTGTTGTAAACCTGGAGAACTATCCCAGAGGCCTGAAACAGCTACAAGAACCCTGTCACCTCTTCCCACTGCCCGAGCTCATTGTTACCAGATTTCAGTGATTCGGCAGAAATAAACTACCATATGAGGACATGCTGTGCAGATGAAGCCCACTTAAATTTAGGTGAACAGCATCAAGCTGGTTCCATAAAGCAGTGCAGTAACAGACAGAATGGGTTACCACATGGGTTCACTCAGTGCTGTCTGTTTATTAAAACAGATTTCCCAAGTTGGGGCAGATGGTGAGAGGATTATCCTTATAGGGGCTCTGGGCTTGGCAACGCTACTGGGACATGAGTTGTTCAAGTTCCCTCCAAACCACAGATCTGACCATGAATAGTCTAGGCCGTGTGTCAGGAAGGAAACAGAGAGTGGCAGAATCCACACTGAAGAGAAGAAATATATTACAAGTATGATGTTTTGTGGAAACAGAAGAAATACACAAGGCCTACTCAGAGAAGAAATGAGGATGGAACATGCCTAGTTGGAGATGAAGATGCAAACAAGGACATGTGTTCTGATGTTGCATCAGACATTTTTAGTAAGGACAGTCTTGGGAAGACTAATCTGTACAGTATTTTCAAAATTTTAACTTTGTTAAATTTCAAAACAGGGTCTTGCTGTGCAGCCTGGGCTGCACTTGAGTTTACCATCCTCCTGCCTCTGCCTCTGCCCTGAGTCCTGGGATGTGCTGGTGTGCACCACCACATACAGCCCTTAAATAGACTTTTTAAAATAGTAGAATGTTTGCTTAAGTATGGTTCTTGAGGAGGTGGAAACTAGGGAGATTTATGGTCCTAAAGTTGAAAACTTTCTAGCATTCAAAAGCTGGATCTGATAGATAATTCCTACTAAGCATCTGAATAGCCTATCAAGGGTAAAGAAAAAGAACAAAATATTGTAGTTGGCAGTTCTTTCTTCTACAGGGTACAGAGTTGTAGTTTGTATTTATTATCAATTTTGATAGTACCATTCTGGTTTCAAAATACATTATACAGTTTTACACCAGTAATTTTGTAATATTTTAATTTTATATGTATGAGTGTTATGCCTGCATGTATGAAGGTGTACCTGTGTTATGCAATGCCTGTGGAGAACAGAAGAGGGAATTGGAACCCCTGGATCTGGAGTTAAGGACAATTTTTAGCCGCCATGTGGGTGCTGGTATTTGAACCTGGGTCCTCTGCAAGAGCAGCCAGTGCTCTGAACTGCTAAGCCATCTCTCCAGCCCCTTGCATCAGTAATTTAGAAAGAGTACCCTATAGTTCAGTAAAGTTCTGAGATATATTGAGAACAGTCTAGATTAGGCTCTTCAGGATACATTTCTTTCTATTCTTTAGGAAACCCTTGGGCAGTTACCACTTAACATTTTGCTCCAGCATAATGAATTGAACAAAACTCTCTTGTTTTCATAAGAAAGTGTTGTCTTTAGTGGGTGACTCTGAAATGATTCCCTATAATCAGCCCAGTACCCTACTCACTGATCTTAACAGTAAAAAAAAAAAAAAAAAATTATAGTCAAAGGTTTTATGTATTTTCATTTTATACATTTATATTATAGTACATTTCTCATTCCTTGTAAAATATACTTTCTCTTGGTGTCTGTCAAGTATGCCTATTTAAGACTTTCAGACTTAGAAATTGAGCATATCTAAATTCAAAGGAGTAGATGCAGAGCAGAAACATAACTATATTTGGTAATTGCCTTATTCTTTGCTTTTCTTAGTTTATCTTATTTTTTTATTTGCACTGATCTTATAAAACTTTACCTGCATATCTGTTTGATCATCAACTGCCCTCTATCATATTAATAACATCTGCTAGAAGAAAAAAATCTCTACTTGTTAGTGAAAGTGGGGAAATATATAATACCTTTATACGTATTAGAAAGCAGATACTTAGTTTTGGTTATTATTGCTTGTGTATTATTTTTGTGGTCAAAACAAAGTTCAGGCTTATTTCATGTTCTGACTGAGAGCCAGCAGCCTTGTAATGTGGTTATCTCATAAGTATGTTTCTAGCTATATGCAAAACTGACTAATTTAGAGTGTCCTGATACCTACCTGTGATGGGCTGCAACCACTGAGTTTTTAAGGCTTAGAGCACCAATATACTGAATCAGTGCTTCCTGCTTTGCATCTAGGAGAAAGTCCTTTTATGATTGATCATTTTCATCAGTTATAGTGAGGTAATAATGCAGACTCCCTGATGGAGTTATCAGTACCAGAGCAAACTTGATTCTTATGGTACTTATGATTGACTGTCTACAGTATTATTATTCCTAGAAAATAAAATCTATTTAAGTTGATCTAGCAAATAATATACTAAATTTCTGTGACTTTTAGGACCATGATTTTTTTTGTGTGTGTGTTATTTATTTTATTTTATGTGTATGAGTATATTGCCTGCATGTAGGTAAGTGCACCTGTGTCATGCAATGCCCGCGGAAGACAGAAGAGGCTGTCAGATTACCTGGAACTGAAGTTACAGACAGTTGTTAGCTGCCATGTGGGTGCTGGGATTTGAACCCGGGTCTTCTGTAAGAGGAACCAGTGTTCTTAACTGCTGAGCCATCTCTCCAGCCCATGTATTTCATTTAGATAAGAAATCCTTTTTTTATGCTTTGAAAGAAAACATCTAATATTTAGCTTTTATAATCAACTAACTGGTTTTTCATGATAGCTTAAAGAGAGTACCATGTGTGTATGTGTGCATGTATGTGTGTTGTTGTTGAGGTTTTATTCTATAAATGGGCAGAAGACTAAGTAAAAATTCATTAAGCCTTGCTTTATTTAAAAATATATATAACATTTTATAAAATTCTATTTTTGGTATGTGTTATTGGTGAAGTTGTCTGTTTTCTAAAACAAGCTGAATTTCTTGGCAAAATTGGCTTTTACTTTCTACTCCATTGCCTTTCATGTTGCAAAGATGGCATGATATGGGTGGTTCTACTTGCAATAATATCTATCACACAGTCAAACTTTGTTTACATTTAGACTGAATATGAGACTGGAATTAAGATGACACATCTACTCTCAAAGGCTAGCCTGGGAATGAAAGATGAACTGAAAAATGAAGACAGAGAAAAGGTAATAAATTAAAATGATAAACCACTGTTTCTAGGCAATTTCTAGAATGGTCACATATTAGATATTTTAAATGAAATCATCTTATTATCAAAATCTTTTTATTAAACCATGATTATTTGAAGAATTTTGCTTATAGAATATTGTTTTAAATCCTAGTTAAATTTGCTGAAAGGCAGTTACTTGGCTTAGGATTCCAAAGAAAACTCAGTGTTGTTAGAAGGCAAAATTGTGTTTTTCCAATCAGTGTTTTGTAGCTACTTTTTCTTGGAATGAGAGATGTTTTAAATGAAAAATAACTAAATGCATTTTATTCTTTCCTTTGTATGTGTAATTTTGTACATTTGAACCTTTTCACAGAGAAAGTAGAAAGAAAAGAAAAGTGGAAAAGAAAAGATATCTAAGCAATAGACAAAGACTGGCAAGGAATACTTAAATAAATTCTGCTATGTATCTGCCGTGATACAGGCTTCTAATCCTTCTGCCTATCTCCATATAAATGATTCTGCTCAAGACCATAGATGTTTTCTTCACTAAAAGCAGTAAAGCTCTTTTAGATGAAATGTCTAAAAACATCTTGTAATAACTTGGAGCATGCTGGCAAGAGTAGTCACTTGTGACTATGTGTGAAACCCCCTCAGCCAGTCGATATTGTAATAAGCAGAAATGGTAGCATCACTCCATTATTCAGAGAAGCCAACAGCATGCTTGTTCCTTAGGCTGCAGCATTCATTAAGAAAAGCTTACTGGGCTGAAAGCTGGAAACAGATGATAACGGGATATGATTTTCATATTTAATGCTTTCCTTGGAAGAGTATGTGTGCTACAGATTGATAGAAGAATCAACTGCTACTTTACTAAAAGACTTTCAGGTTTGCCCTATAGCTACCGATGGAATCATTCAGCCAAGAAATTAACTTTTTCTCCTTTTACCTGCTTTATATATCTGCTAAGCAGGCTGCCTGGCTGCCAGTAAATGTTATTATGCAGTTAACTGTTGGGTATTTAAGACTCTTATCAGAAAAGAAACAGAGGCCACACTATTTTGTTTTTATGGTAGGAGGAAGGTTTTAGTTTTCCTTTCTTCAGTGCGTTAGCAGGCATTAATCTGAGTTTATAGGAAGTTTTAGTTTTCTTTTCCAATAGATTAAAAAGTTAAAAAGCTAGAATTTAGAACATTCTTTAAACTGTAAGATACAAAACAGCACGCGCCAGCAGCCTTGACCTATATAAAAAGGCCTTTAATGATAAGTGATTTATATGCCATTAGATATAGAGCAAATGTGGTATGATGCAATAGATTTCTAAACTGTTCAGAAAGTTTTTCTGTTTGACATTTGGTCATAAAATAATTGACATGTTTTTAATCTACAAACCAGTTTGTTTTTTCTATGCCATTCATCACAGACACTTTCTTAGTATGACAGTGTCAATGGTACTTAAGTAAAACAGGAGACTTATTTTTCTGTTTGCACTACTGAGTCCTTACCATGTATGTAGTTATGGAGTCTTCATTTAATAATTAGAACTGTATTTTCTTTGTACTGAGAAGTATTAGCTCCATAAAATCTTTGACTATTGGTGTAGTAAGAATCAGATAACATGTTAAGAAACTTGTATCTTCTCTAATTTTTCCTTGATGTCAAATCAATTAAAGGGTACTTACACTGCAGCAAAATCACAACTTAGTTAATCCTCATTACATGCTAATTCCTGAACAAGTCCTTATCATGAATTATGTTGTACTTTTTATTGGAAATCCAAGCTCCTCTTCTTTAGTCAGTCATAGGAATTTGCCTCTGTGCCCAGAGTCACTGGCCTCAGGAATTTTCCTAATGCATAGTATAGTTGTTAAGCAACTGTTCTGTTTGAGAAGCCACAGAAGCCCCTCCAAAAGAGTCTCAAGTCTTGCTCTCAAGATACTTCTCACAAAGCAGTATTCTTTCTGAGGTATAGGATAGTATATAATAAGTGCCAGTTATAACGAATGAACATAAGCTACAGGAAGAAAGATGGGGCCCCTCCCTCTGCAGTGCATACACCAGCCTTGATAGAAGAGGTGGTGTTTGGCAGGCATTGAAAGATGACAGTGATCTTTGGCAATATGTGGACATTTTAGGGGTGGTAGAATCAGAAAGCCCAGAGAGTCATTTCCTAGTCAGGCTGGAATCTAAAGAACTTGTAGGACATGATAGAAAATGAATTTGGGCAGGTATATCATAAGACTTGGTACTTGAATTAATCATGTGTGCCTATGTGCATGTTTGTGTGTGATAAAGAAGCACAGACTGGTTACATCATAGGAGAGAATCTGGGCAGGATGAACCTGAAGAAATCAGGCTCAGGGTAGATGAGAATGAACCAAGGTGCTCATATTTAGGTAGCCACTGCAGAGGAAATCATTGTTGGAGGGGAGAGGCTAGGTCAGAGTAGTTCTGGGAATATAGCACAGTTGGTATAGTACTTGCCTAGCCTGCACAAGGCCCTGGTTTTAATCTACAGTGCCTCATAAACCAGATGTGGTACATACTTGTAATTGAAGTATGTGGGAGTGGGAGGCAGGAAAATTGGAAGTTCAAGGTTATCCTTGACTATGTAGCAAGTTCAAGGTAAGTCTGGGCTACTTGAGGCTGAAAAAAAAATAATAAAATACTTGAGACTCAAAGAGATGTTTTTTTAAAAATGCAATTGATTTAAATGTCAAGAAAAGCTATTGAGGAGTGTGGTTGTCTGGTTTTTCAATGTAAAACTCAGTTTTGTAGTAAGACACCCATTCTTTTTTGGTGTAATCAGTGAGTAGAGAATATACATAAAAACACATCAAATCAACTGGGTATAGTGGCACATGCCTTTAATCCCAGCACTCAGGAGGCAGAGGCAGGCAAATCTCTCTGAGTTCCAGGCTAGTCTGCCTGATCTACTTAGTGAGTTCCAGGCCAGCTGGGGCTACAGGGAGACCAGAAAAAAAAATAAATAAATAAATAAAAGAAAGACCAAAAATACATCAGATCATGTACTCAAATGAGATAGAGGATATTTGTGAATAACTACAAACTTTTCCAGCAGGTTGTGAAGCTTTCTTGAGCTATTATTCCATGAAGTATATTCTAGTAGACGCAGATGTGGACTGATGGTACTCTGCCAGGGATAGAGAACTGTGGAGGACCAGGGAACCTCATCAGAGGACTAAAGGCTGCTTGGAGGAGTGTCACCTCCTCCACCATTGCAAGGATCCTAGGGAGGACCTCTGTACAGGTTGTAACTCCCACTTCTAATAGCTATATGAACAGTGAGGCATGGTCAGGGCACTCTTCTTCTGTGCCAGGTGCTTCATGGACATTTTCTTGGTACTGGCTTATTGAATCCTTTCGTTAGCCCTGGACACAGATGTGATTGTTGTCCTCATTTTATAGCAAGGCTAAGAAAGATTAGTTGATTTGCCTACATCTGTACAGTTAGAGCCAAAACTCAAACCCTGACTTCAGTGTCTGTGCTTTCACCATCTTGCCATAATGCCTTCTGAGGTAGTTTGGAAGAAATACTCACCAAGGTTGGGGAAGATTCTCAGTGAGATGAAAGCAGCTTTCAGTGCTACATTTTTACCTTGGGAGGGAATGAACTAGTCTCCCTTGGTGCTGATAAGATTTCAGATGAATAAGATGAGCAGTGATGGGCATTGAACATGATACCTTATGTATCCTATGAAAGCACTCTATGACTACATCCCTAGTCCTTTTAATTTTATTTGTATGTTGCTATTCAGAAAACAATTAAAAATTGAGCTGAATTGTACTAGTAGTTTCTCAAGAGGATTGAGTTATTTAAACAAGTCCAAAACATATAAGCTAGATACACAGCCCCCTTTTTCGGGGCTGTATAGAAAATATTCTTCTCTCTCAGCTTACTAGACCAAGCAGGTGGGAATAGCCTGGGCAGAGCAAAGGAGAAAGTGCCAAGAGCTGTTCTCTTGGAGTGAGGGATGTCTCCATTTCATTTGCAGTGATAGGCTAGATGAGGTTTGCACTGTTGCATCCTGCTTCCTTTCAGGGTACCTTTCAAGTATCTAGTGGGACATGTGGTTCATTCTCTTTAACAGCTAACATCTTCATTGGTCTTACTGTGTTTCTATTCCCATTCTAGAAATTTGGTGTGGGCATGTGTGAGTGTGCATGGGAGTTACATCCTTAAAAACAGCCTTAGCTAGGTGTGGTGGCACATGCCTTTAATCCCAGCACTCAGGAAGAAGAGGCAGGTGGATCTCTGTGAGTTCAAGGCCAGCCTGGCCTACATAGCAAGTAACAGGACAGCTGGGGCTACAGGGAGACCCTGTCTCTTATAAAATCCACTTTGCAAATTAGGAAGTATGTCAAATGTCTTGTCCTCAGGTCCCACAATTGGTAAGTGGCAAACAGCTTGGATTCAGATCTCAGAAGAACATACCAGCCTGGAGTCTTCAAAACAAAACAAAACAAAAACTCAAATTTTTAAAACTTATTTTGGTCAGGAGTCTTAATAAGTATACCAACCTACTTTTCGGTTACTAGATAAAATAATTTACTGCTTTACAGGGAAAATGGGAGGAAGCCATTTGTAAAGAAATTTAGCCTCTTTCTCAAGTCAGAACACAATTTTTTGTGGGAACTTTCTGCTCCACAGCTATCTTCTTTTGCTCTCTGCTACAGGGGAATTAGATGAAAAGCATATTGGATGTCAAAGGTGCTCACAGTGGGAAACTTGCACTCATAGATATGGGGCCTTGTCTGGGGAGGGGTACAAAAGGTGCAAAGAAAGGAGAAAGGGAGAGAGACAGAAGTCATTCCAACCAGGGAAGGTGCATTTGCATTCTGTGGGAAGAAATGGTTTGTTTTCTCATTTGATGTGGCAGAAGGGAAGCTCCAGAGAACAGATACTGGTTTCTTGTTGAAATTTTCCAACTCTCATGTGTTTCTAGTCAATGAAATACAATGTTACTAAAAGCAACTTTCTTCATGCAGTTGGGAAAA